CACTTTTATTATTGTGTAGAATTTTGTTGTTGAATTCCGCACATTATCGGAAGCGCTAGGGTTGGTCGGGCGATTGAAGGAGCAGTGTCTCCAAAGTCGAAACACGTCTAGGCCTTTCAAGAAGACGACCACGTCGAAAGCTAAGCCATTGGGCAAATATTCTACCTAGAAACCTCGAGAGACATAACAGTACCAACGAATCAAATAACGATGATGAGATTACAGCAGGTGAGAAGCTGATCTGCTACCACTGAGCCAACCAAGAGAACGTTAAGGTCGGCTTGCACGTTGTTTGACTCGCGGTCCACCACAGAAAGTGCGTTTCAATGTGGAATCACTTGCCATTATGGCAACTTCACAGTATTATTATAACGAATATTTACTAGTTGAAATATGCAACGGTTCACGTGATTGGCGCTGTAGGTGATTCCTTATTCGGTAAGACCTTCACGTCCTGAAAACCGCGCTATTACTCTTTACAATGGATTTTCAGGTATTCCGAGAAAAAGCAACGTTCGATGAGGCAGAAAAGCGATGCATTTCAGTGGGAGGGCATCTGGCATCTATTCATAGCGAACAGGAAAATAAATTCGTCACAGGTAAATTCCAAAAGTTTAAGGACCAAAAATCAAGGGCTGCTTTTGTCAGCGCAAAAAAGTAAGGCAGAAGAAATGAAAAGGGAGCTATCTCTCACCAACGTAGTCATTATCTCTCTGGAAAGGAGGAGGGCATGAAGGGATGTGGATCAAAGCGCGGTCAGCGTAGCTCTTGCAACAGTTGTTGCCAGCTCAGACGGCCTAATTCGTCGGCAGGACTGCCCTGTCTGCGCTCCACTCTAGGCCCCCTCTCACGGCCCCTTCTTTGCTGGGATAACGACAGCATAATATCGGCACTGATAAAAGGAGAGAGGGAACGCAGGATTTTTAAGGACTGCACGGTTTCCAATCCGTGCTGGGACATATGGAGTGGTTTATAGTAGAAGAATACGTAGTAGAAGCATACGTCTTGGAACAAGGTACAGCACGGCGTTTCAAATATAGTGGATACAAGCTACACTTTTTCAATGGGATTCTAGACATTTGCAGAATTGTACTCAGTCAAGGGTCGCACGTTTCTAGAACAAAACAGTGAAGTAAAAGCTGTGCACGTTCACAAAAGGGGATTCACGTCTTGTTTGCAGTCATTCATCTCTGCAAACGAAGGGGCGCGTGAAAGAGTGTGGATTAGAGCGCAGTCAGAGAAGCCAAAACTGTTGCGGGTTCAAAGCGACTCAACTGGTGGGAAGGACCGCCCTTACTGCGCTCTACTCATGCTCTTTACACGCCTCCCTTGCAGGGTTAATGACTGCGCATCATACTGACAACGGTAGACGGAGTGAAAGACTCGAGATGCCTATAGTTCGCCTGGTTCTGAGTGTTTACTGGGGCGCAGGCAGGTTTTTCAGTAGTACGCGCCCCTGAACAGAGAGAACATTGTGATGAGTGAAATTGTGGCGTGCACGCGACACCAAAAAATTTTTTCATCAGGTACGACCCACCCTTCCAGGAATTAGCAGACATACCTATTGCAGGCATTCCACATACTAACTTAGCTACTGTACGCAGTTCTTTTTTAAGTTGAAAGCGTTTTAAATTTTGAAAAAAGTTCAGAGTTATCAACAGACGGACGGAGAAGAGAAAAACTGGAATTTAAGTCCTACACATGGATTGGCCTACGACAAAACCACTATCCGCTAAGCAGAGAATGGACCTGGACGGATGGAAGTCTCGTGAACTACATGAAATTTTCTACCATGCAGCCAGACAACTTCAGGGATGGGGAACGTTGCGCACAGGTTACTCTGTCCAACGGAGTTCTTATGAGTTTATATAGGATTTTTTCCAACTGGCTTCAATTTTGCGTTCATGTCTCACAGATGTTGATAAGCCACTAAGTGTAGGACCGGAATTTTTCGAAAAACTACAGTACTTAGCTTCGTTGCAGGACCAGCTACCGTACTCTTGTGGCACATTGCGTGCCTCCTAAGCTGGCCTAAATTTACATGCGCTGGATTTTGGATTCAGAGCGAACGGGTGGCATACATTTGTCAAAAAGACGATTATGATACGGATCAGGACAGTCTTTCTGCCTTTTTGTGGGGTTCAGTATACATATGCCTAACATTACCATATCGTTCCTACTTGCTACACGGAAGGAAACTTTTGGAAGGATTTAGATCAACTTGAGGGAAGATACATTGGTATTTTATCAAGCATGAGTGAAGAAATAGCAATAGATGACTTGTGCGAATGTTTTGCGGTTCCTGCTTTGATTTCTCGTGATATTAAAAGTAATATCACCATAGGACTATTCCTACCACAACAACTCAAAAATTTTTTTTCGGAACGTTGTCTACAGATGTTACTCGATGTCCTGATAACGAAACTTGGTAATAGGATTGCATGATGCCTAGATCAGCAGTATGGCACTTATTTCTCCATACCAGCGCCATTTAGCGTTCTGCTGAGGCTGAATCTGGGAAAAGGAGTGATTCCCTTCAGGCCAGGCTCAGTCTTAGCAAAGCGCAGATGACCATAGTGTCCTACGTTAGCGCCGGCGCCAAGAATAAATGTCATATTCGTAATCAGGATGTCAAATAACCCTCGTACACAAGTTTTATCGATTTTAGGTGATTTAGGGTGTCTTGACGCCGGCGCCTGTGGCGTGGCAGGTAGTTTTGGGCTTCGTATTCGCGTTCAGGAGGTCGAAATACCCCTGTAAGCAGATTTTCTGCCAAATCTGGATTTGTAGAAAAAAGTCGGTAAAAAAACCGGCTGATTTCGGTAGACTGTGGTAGGAACAGTTCAATATGCCAAAGTTATTTACCCGCCCATTTCCATTTGATTTTTTCAGGGGTTAATCTAGATCCATACTAAGCAACAGGACATAAACAGCTCGACCCCATAGCGACCGAGTACGTATCCTAGCCTTAGGAATGTATCGTCACTTAATAAGCAATCAAAAATGATCGAAGTTGTAGAATTGTCTTCGGATCCAGGAATGTTCAGAATTTCCTCCCGCATATCGTGGAATAAGCTCAAACTTTTGATAATGCCCATATACATTTCTTTAGCTGGTCTCGTAGAAAATGGCGTGAGCATATATATTCAGCACTGAAACCTACTAAAGGTTTTGTCTAAGTTGATAAACTTCATCTTCGCAATCTAATAAGCGTCTATCAACTGCTCCACATTCAAAGAAAGGCGCACTCGAAATTAGGCCAGTTGGAAATGCTCTATAGTGTGCCGAGGAGTACGGTAGCTGGTCCTGCAACGAAGCTGGTACTGTAGTTTTTCGAAAAATTCCGGTCCTACACTTAGTGGCTTATCAGATGTTGAAGCAGTGTCAAGCATCGCGTTTAGCAAAACTGGCCTGTCGCTAGGACCACCTATAAAAAGAGTGAATACGACCTCCCTCCCCTTACTACGCGATCACATACCTGGCACTAAACTTAGCTTTTTACACAATTAGAAGGACGTTATTCTCGACGCGGTTTCATTTCAGCTGTGATGCATTTTAGTGGAGGACGCTTTCTCACCCCACACTGTTAACACTGAACCACGAGGATCTTTCGAAGGTGTTAAACTTTTCTCGAAGCACCAATTCATTTGCACGAGCCTGTATTATATATATATATATATTGCGAGTGGGGAGTTCCTGGGAAGCATGACACAGGGCAAATACATGGACGCAGGAACAAAAGAAAAAACGAAGTGCGCGAACATCAAAACTCTTTGCGAAAACTCATCATTTTCGCCCACCATAAAACGAGGAAACTACCTTTCGCGCGCAACTTGCCACCATTCAAAAGGCACAGAACTTATTGGGGAGGCTAAGGAAATATCTGGAACTGCTGTCGCTGTTCTGTGGCGGAGACTACTAGGTGGTATCGTTCCTCGGCTGCCCTCTGAGCCGCCGAAATAATGCGACGCGTATACGGTGGTAGAACCTCCCGCGACGCAACATGGGTCCACACGCCTATCCTGCGGGCTTTCAAGGGGCCGGCCGTATAGCTATCCTCCCCCACGGTACGGAGGCCGCTACCCCGAGGGCATCTACTGACTTGGCCCTAGAGCGCCCGATCCACCTACTGCGAGATACTATCCCTGCGCCAGCGTACTAGCCTGGCCCCGTTAGAAAAGCTAACCACCCACAGCGCTCTGTCGGGTCCCTTGCCCTGGCGCTCCCATCGTCCCTACCTCCGACTATTCCACATATTTATAATAACTCACGTTTATTCCGTCTCCTATCCTTACAATTCGACAGCCAACTCTTCGTCCTCCAGCTCACGGCCGACCATCCATCCATCTAGAAGGAAGACGTGAGCGGCAATCGCAGCCAATCGTACCTTCGCAGCCCACTGAGCGCTGATCACGCCGCCAATCCGGGCATCATTGCGGCACCGATGTGCCCGGCGCTCCCCTCCTCCCGAAGGGAGAGAACGCGCCGACTGGCCAGCCTGCCGCCTTATAAGGCGCCGCCTGGGGGTGGGGGGGGGGGGGGCCGTGACGCGGCTTTCCCTCGCTCGCGTCGCGGCTTTGGCATTAGAGCACCACAGAGCCCAGGCGCACGGCCGCTCGGCGACTTGAGTCGTGATCCGCGACAACTGCTGAACTTGCTGTTAAAGGCAGCGTCCGCGATCACCAAGGTGAAAAACCCTGCACTGTACAAGATCGCGGAGTCCGCAACCACAGCGGATATCCCACTCTTGCGGCTCGAAATCGATTGATTGACGAGGGCGGAGTCAACAATGCTAAGCTGACGCCGCCTGTCCTGTTAATCCCGCCCCGACTGGTTAACAGTTGTCAATCCTTGCTGGCTTTGATAATCGCTAAATTTCTAGCGTTCGTTTCGTACACTGATAGAGAGATTAACTCATAGACAGATCGATTATCAATGCCAGCGTGGATTAATTAGATTAGATGAGATAACCTAGGTAGTGGCCTCATGAGAATTAGCCGCAACGAGGCGCGGTGTATTTTGGAGAACTCACCCAAAATCTGCGAAACTCGTCCAGATGCCTTAAATCGAATAGGGTCTTATTACATGTTCTTGCACCCCTTTTTCCTACTTTTTTTGATTAATGCTTCACTTGCCACCTGTTCTAACAAATCTGACCCTAAACCTGCAAAGTCGATCGCGGGTGCCTCTTTAATGGAATGTATTGAAATCCTGCTACAGCTCAGCTACTTAGTGAGGCATACTGCTGTGGAAATACTGCTGCAAATGCAATAGTGGTTTTTTCGAGCTGTAAGAATGAGTATTTCTATTTCATTTTCTACAACTGCTTCCAGAAATCATGGAGTGCCTACAAAACACTCCTCTAACCTACAATTATTTTGAGTTGAAGGACGGAGGAGTCGATGAGCCCATTCATGGGATACTCTACGCACACGACCTCCTTCACATTTCTTGCAACATCGAAAGCTATGTTGGTCCACAAAACAGCTTCCTAAGTCTGCAGACACATTCCCTGTAGTTAGAAGCATGTGAAAGTACTTTGGCGAAAGAATACCTCTTTAGAGCACCGCTAAAGTTGCGCTTTCAACCCTTATTCCGCACACACCTCGTCACTCTGTTGTTTACTGGTTTCCCCAAATACGACTCCTCCATTAAAGCCAGGTACGACCCCCTCCCCTCCCATTGAGGATTGTTCAGCGGATGCTTGAACCTGTGCGGAAGAACACTTTAAAGTATGTCCAAGAGCCCTATAATGATTACTTATCGTGATTGTGATTGATCGTTTCAGTTGATAAACGACAATTCGGCAGAACCTCTAATGAAGAAGAGCTTCTGGAACGATTTTTTCTGTGACCAAAAAATGGCACAGTTTGTGTGCAAAAGGTCCGTGAAGCGCAGATACAATAAGTAGACGTCAATTTAAACTTTGCTGCAGTTAAAAAATAAATATGTACCTTCAGTTGACGTGCCGACCCATACGTTCAGTCTTGCGACTTGCTTTTTTTTCGTGTCACCCTATTCTACTCAGCCTTGTCCCTCTCTTTGTCCATTGATCTCTCTCCTCTCAGCACGGTTTTGCTGTCAAACTTGTCAACATAACTGGTCCGGATTTGGACCAAATGGAGAAATGGCATCCCAATGAGGCCAGTACTCGTTCGGCACGCTTGGCAGAAGTTCAAAGGGTGTTCGACATACACTGATGAAGGTCAGAAGTGGAAGGAAAGCAGACTGTCTACTTAGTAGAGTTCCACCATGGTGGACATCCCTAGTGCACAGTTATAGTGGGACGAATGCCTCAACATCCCGGAGGTAGTAGAGCCTCTGGAAAGCCCTTTGTATCCTCAGAGGAAAACAATTCTGTCAGGTAATCGTTCAGTGTATCCTGAAAACGTTCGGGGTGAGGTGAGCTAGCCACCTGTCGTGTTGACTGCCTGTCAAGCGTGTTCTCACGAGGGAGGAGGTACAGGACACGGTAAACTCTTTGGAAGGGGTTTATTGCATGATGTAGAGGATTTATGGACCACACAGATCAAGCTCACTTCTGTTTAGCATTACTGGGAATGCCAATAAAAAAGGAAAACAAATTGTGCAGGCTGTGCAATTTCAACCATATTCCATATCTAACTATATTGCGCCCCGTTCTTGCTGTAGCGTTGAGCATGTATAGTTTATGAGGTGTTCTTTAACAAAAAACA